GGGGGGAGCAGCAGCAAGTTCTTTCAGGCAAAGTGTAAACAGCTCAGCTGGACATCAGAAAAGTTATCCGAATGAAGTGGTGGGATGCACGCGCAGATCCTGATTCCTGTTCCTTATTGTTCTTCACTTGGTGATGTCTTGCAAATTGCCTAATACCCTGTCGCTGTCCTGTGCTGCAGCTCTTTGTTCGGATCTGCATTGCCCCGACAGCCACCACATACCCAGCCACAGACGACCGGCAGGACCATGAGGTGTCAAAACGCACTCCTCTAAATGCACTCCTTGGGGTCGGTGCTACCGACCGTGTGGTCGACCGCCTCGACCGAAGCGGCACTCGGTGTGTCGGTGGTGACGGTCGAGGTGTGAGTGGCCACGAGTGTCGAAGCGCGCGGACGGTCCCCGGAACTGGAGGGTTTGGACCCTGTATGGCATAGCAGGGGTGAGCCTCAAAACCGAATCACCTGTGAGGGTCCTTGATTCTGAAGGTTTAGGTTCGTTGGTTTGCGCAGGTGCGCGTCTTGCATTTGTCAGAGTCCTGCAATTCTCGTGCCGACCGGCAGTTGAGATGGAGAAGTGGCTGAAGTCTTTGCCACTAGAGACTTCCAAACTTCCAGCTGATCCAGTTGTGACCAGGTTCGAACTGCGGGTTCTCCAACTGCTAGGAAGAAGCTCCGCTCCGCTCCTGCAAGTGACTGACTGGAGCTCCGCTCCTGCAGTGGCCTTACGACCTCAGGGGCTCCGCCCCTGCAAGTGCTTTGCTCTCCAGGTGCCCTGAGCCCCGCCGTCGAGACCCTCGACGGCAGCGTGGGACAGGCCCTGGAGATGGTGAGAGCCGAGGCCGAGCCGAGCGCCGCCACGCCGCCTGTGGCGGGGTGGTCGGAGCGGTCCGGGTGCTTTGGGTGGGGGAGGGTGAGGCTCAGCCAAAAGCGGAGGTTGGAAAATTGACGATGTTCAGAGGGCTTTGGGGCCACGAAATACCACGAATGTGAACTGAACATAGAAACCCCTATAGTCTCCAAGATGGTTTTACATCACCAAGGGCTTGGGGGGGGTTAATCAACAGTAAAGATTTGATTCATGAGATCCAGCAGACCGAGCCATACCTTACAGCTTTGTGTGTTGGCTGCAAGCGACAGGTGGAAGCGCAGCTTTCGGGCGAAAAGCTTCAGGACGGCTTCAGCAAGGTATGTTGGAGTGACAATTCCAATTGTGGGCGTTGGATCAAGACCTTAGCCCTTTAGACACCAAGATCATCCAAGATCGTTTACCTAGCATGTCCACCTGGAATTATTTTGCATATTGGATCCACGCGAACGAATTGTTTGCAAGACACACTCTGAAAAGTCTACGATGCTGCTTGCGCAAACAACAAAGCCTGGATTTGAACCAACATCACCATCGAACACAAGTGACAGACATCTCTCGGCAGAGTTCTCCCTCACTCACCGAACACGTGAGGTCAGAAATAAAATGAAACGAACACAATACATCAATTAGGATCAACAAGGATGCACTGAAGAAAAAGTTGCTCATTTCAAGATATTTCAAGTCTTGGAATGTCTTGAATTTGTATTATTTGCGGGAGCCTTCGGGAATCTGAAGATGCAGCGCAATGACGGGAGAGCTCCAAGTACTCAAATTATTTAATCATCCAGTGTCTCCTTTTGAGGTACGAAAGTAGACAAATTGAAGTTGTTTTGTTGTTTTCCAGCATGCCCTGTATCATAGCAGCTATAGCAAAGATCAGGATCTTTGTGCTCCTCATCAGAGCGAAAGCACAGGTACTCATCAGATGAGGGTCCATCACCATTTCGAAAGCCAAAAAAACATACTCATATAATATATACACATTTTAACTACAACATTACTATAAGACGATAACAAATAATTTGTTTGGCAGTGTATCAACACCTAAGTAGGTGGGCCTTCCAAATGTCGTAGTCCATTCTATCTGTGAAATGTATATCTGGGGATCACCCTAAAAAATGGCCAAGAATGATATGCTTGTGCCTGCTTTCCCCAATTTGCGTGTGTTTTGTCCTTGTCCCTTCCTGTTTGCATCCATTTACAATACTGGATGGGGCGGTCGCAGGTCGCGTTTCGTCGTCGGTCGAGTCGACCGATGAAGGAGCTGCGCAGTAGCATGACGGCTTTCAGTGAGCCGATCCAAACCTTCAAGGAGCTTCATGGAGACAGATGGTCATGTCATTTTTATTTGAGTGGTTCACATGATGTGCTTGGTGAACTTGTGTTCAAGATGCTTCTGCAGACGGCCTGTCTTTCACACAAAACCCAGAATGTCCATTGCTTGGCTGCTACCTGGGATACACCGTGGATACACCCAGTGACCCAGTGTGGCCATGATCTTCATGCCAGATGTCGCAAAAGATCCTGAAAACAGCATCACTTTGGTGTTTGGATGGTGTTTGGATGGTAAACACATGGTCACAAAGGCTATTTTCACCAGCCCAACCTGGGTGCTGAGCAGATTCATTGAGCAATTCTCTAGATTTGATCTTCCGATCGGATCGCGTGTTCTCGTCCGAAGGAGACGCTGGGTGGGTTCTTTCGACCATTGATTGAAGCCGATGTGCTGGATGTGGCCAGAGAGCAGCAGCTGAGCGGCACTGAAGCCGGTGAAGTGGCAGGAGAAGTGGAAGCGGTTTTGGGTTTCGGAGCAGCTCATGTTTGAGCAACAAGGGATGAGCAGAGGCACGTCTGAGTTTAGTTTGAACCCGAGAAGCAAACAAGAAGACAGGGTATCCTTGAAGGTTTGAGTACCCACTGAGAGTCTTTCAGAGTGTACCAAGTAAGGGTTGATACAGCAAAGCTTGTGCTGTGGAAATGCCTGATATGAATCATATGATATGAATCATATGCCTCATTGAAGTGATCACCAAAGAACGGTTGCACTTAGGATGGACACGGCTGGAATGGCCGTTGCAGCAAGTTTTGCTGCCTTGGCATTACTGCCACCTTGGTGAGCAGGAGGTGCGCGTCACACACCCACAAGCGCGTACTAAGTCAACAGGTAAAGTTTGTTCTATTGGAAGTCGGTTTAATGGATTGGTTTGACTGCATCATACTACATCATTCTTCATGTTAGGGTTCCATGCTGGTGGGGTTGATCCGAGCTTTCACCTCGAAACCACGGTGGTCACAGCCGTCTACGTGGGCTTCAGCCGGGAAACGGGAGTGTCCATGGAACATGGACTCAACGAGCGGAGCGCACACATGTTTTCCATGGGACTGCCATATATGCCGCCCCAGACAGACCCCATCGGCAGTCCGAACTGGCAGTCCCAGACGGGTCGTGTCTGGGGTGGAACATCCACAGTAGGAGACTTCCAAGTTCTTCAAGTTGGATTCAGGAGATCGAGAATTCTTCGCGTTTGGCGTCTCCTTTGATGTCTTGGACTGTCAGTGGATTTGGGGGATCAACGCCATCCAGACACGCCCAGCTTGTGGGCATGGCATGTGTGGGGATGATCAAGTGCTCCCAGAAGCAGAAGCAAGCAGATCAATCCATTCCCTAGAGATCCACATCTAAGGTCCGACTGGATATTCCTGACACCTACATCAAAGAGTCTCCTTCTTCACCACCTTGGAGGGTGGCAGTGGATCTAGAGGGATTGCTGTTATCCCCCATGGACCCAACTTTTGGAACCAGACATCCGTCCGGACGCTCACATCGACATGTTCAGGACGACTAGTCACCGGTGCGATCGGACGCGGACCGAACGGGGCGCTCCTGGCATTACGACTAGTAGATACTAGTAGCAAGAAGCTAAGACTTGAGAGTTGTGGGGCCAAGATGATGACTGGATGTCCATAAAGCCACAAATTAGGTGAAGGACCTCTTGGCTGTGATACCAGGGAGTACAGTGATAGTGAGTTACACAATCACCCCAAAGTGGAAGACCCTGTGAAATCAGCCTCAATCTTCACCCTTTCTCCAAAAAAGGCATGAAAGTGGACGACCTGGACAATTGAATTCATCCGGAGAATGCTCATTTTTCAAACGATCCAGTCTCTAAAAGAAAGAAGGGCTTCTTTCTCGGGGCTCTGAGGCTGAATCTTTGTGGAATCCTTTCTGTCCTTTGCTGGTGTTGTTCTGGCCAAGGCTCGGGGCGTCCGTGGCCGGGCAGAAAAAAAGCACTCCAAATCCACGATGCTTGACACCTGGAAGCCTCAGTGTTCTCTTTTTCCCAAGATTTGAACTCAGACCCACGGGACAAACTGCTGATCACCTACCAACTGATTCTTCTACGCCTGCGATGTCAAGTTTGCCCAACTCTTTGGTCACTGACACCGGGTCATTGGTTTCTCACCCGTTGATCTCGGGCATGCGGATGCGGTCGATTCACTTGTTGGAACGATCCGATCGAACGAGCCGATCGAATCAAAACTGGGCGCGGTCATGTCTCGCGCTGTGCCAGAGGGTGTTCCTTTTGAGGCAACCCCAAAGCCAGAGTTCATCGCTGTGCCTGCTGTACTTGGTGCTGCGGCTGCTGGTACCTCTTCTTGGCGTTACTTGGATCAGACAGTGCTCGAGGAGCGCGCACGGTCAGGAGGTTAAGCATGTTAAAGCTCACTTCAGTGGGATCATTGAAGCAGAAAGTAGAAGTTCACCGTGAAATGAAGCCTGAATTGTTTGTGTTCTCATTCCTGGTCCACATGCTGATATGCCAGGTGACCTTGGATCTGTGACGCTGTGTGTGGCCGGTCGGTGGGTTTCCTACAGTGAACATATTTGAAGAAACATCGCATCTCAATCAGGTTTTTGGTCGGTGGCTTGCTGAACGTGGTCACCGTTCCCTTGGCCAGCTTTTGCCCCGTTGGCTGCAGGCGTTGAGGAGCGTCGCACGTCGCACTGGATCGGTCCATGTCTTTGTAGCCAGCCACTCACCGAGGATGTGTTGGATGTGTTCGGGAACAAAAAGAAACATGTGTGTACCAGGACCCTCCAGTCGGGGTGCCCTGTTTGGAAGCCTAGGCCGGTAGTGTGGGGTAGTTCAGCCAGGACACCCCGACAGGAGGGTCCTGTGTATATATATATATACACATAATTTACGTCTAGTCTAAGTCAGTAGGCCTTGCGGCGGAGTGTCTTTCAGCTACGATTCATTCTATGCTTTCTCAAGACTCGAAACATGTGCTGCTGTCGTGTGACAGGTCTGAGACAAGAGGATTATCCCACTGAATTTCAATGGCATTTTGTTCCCATCTTCAGGGCGGACGTGATACAATAAAAGTGCCTGAGGTTTGATCCTCGACGACTTGGATGGTGATTTGCTCATGGATATCTCTGCCATGGCGAATGTCAATCTCTCAGGCGCTGGGGGTCGCCCAGTTTGGAACAACATGGTGGACTTGCGAATGGACCGGTAGGAACAGCGGTATCTCGGCATGACAACCATGGCCCAGGGGGGTAGGTCATCCAATGTCATCCAGATAGATTCAACAAGTCTTTATTCACACCGGATGAAGACACCAGTGCAACAAGCCAGTTTCCAAACAGCCACCAGTTCAAACCTATGAAGCTTTTTGCGGCTTTGCGGTTCAGAGTTGGCAGCAGCCACACCGATTGAAGCGAGCCGCTCACATCCGATCCGGTTTTGTTTGCCATGCTCCAGCGGATCTTCATTCGTGGCTAATTCATTGCGTCCTAAGAGTGATTGAGTATCAAGGCCACTATGAGTTGGTAGGGTGCTAAGTTGAACTGAACTAGCTGAGCTTGCTTCGCTTGCTTCAAGCAGGCCCAAAGATCGGTTACATTCCCGAACATGTTTGGATGGCAACCCCCAGATTTAAGTCTGGATGTCCTTTGACCCATGAGTTTGGATGGTAGTTACCTATACGTCGATCGATAGGATACCCGACATTGTTCCTTTTTTGCGTAGGAGGACACTAGTATCACTAGTCCAGTCCCAGCGACTGGCGTTCTTCCATGTGTTGTTCTTCCGATGCCCCTCTCATCTCCGCAACCAACGCGTTCAGCGCGTCTTTTCCCACGCAGGTGCTGTGGGGAGTGTCGCCATTGACCTGGTGGAGAACTGTGTGAATCCTGACATTCCAGGAAATCCTGGCCTCATGGTCTCTTGGCCTCATGGTCCCTTGACGTTCTCCACCAAGCTCGCCTGTTCTCTCAAGGGCCACCCGAAATTCAAGGGCTTCAGCTCGACGGGATGCTATAGACGGACTTGGTGCCCAAATAATGCAACGTGTCCGGTGCTCCAACGATTTATGTGCAAGAGGCTCTCCCAGTGCCTTGCAATGATCCGTCTCAGGGGGGCAAACCAATTGCTACTAGGTTGGAGGCCATCCCTATTAGGTTGGAGGCCAGGTTGCATTGCTGCAGCCCGCTGTGAGGACATCCTCAAGACGCCCAGCAGCAATGGGACCATGGTGACCATGAACGAGACACTTTGATGCAAGCAGACGTGGAAAAGCGCACGTCAAGCAGGCCTACTGCTGCTTCTTGAACATGTTCATGCATGATATAGTAGATTATAGGCATAGAGGAATTCAGTCAACCCAAGGTCAAAGGAGAGAAGGTTTCTGATTGGGCAAGCTTTTCAGAGTCTTCCTGCCAGTGCGATCCTCCTTGCCTTCGCATCTTCAGGAAGATTGTGGGCGAGGTGACGAGCCAAATCACGCAGCAATTCAACGCATTGGGCTCCTCACAGAGTTCAGGAGAGCGAGTCGATGGTCTCCGGAGCGGGGAGCGCCGTTTTTTAGCACGTCTAGCCGCTGCTTCCAGCGGCAGTTCAGCAGTCCCGAGAGGTCCCGAGGGAATCGGTTGTCAACTCGATTCTATGTCCAACACTCAATTCGATGTATGGTATGGAACGACTTGGGTTCAATGGCATATATATATACTTAGAACCTGGAGTGTTTGGGTTTGGTATCGAAAGTCTTGGGTTGTTAGGGAAAAAACTTGTGCAAATGTGCAAACTTTCCTACTAAACATGTTCGCATGCCACGAAACAACACAATGTCGTTGATAAGAAAGCCTGAGATGCGAGATCCAAGAACTATCAGCCTCCACCTAAAACGACAGCATGGGCTTGGGACTGTAGAGAAAGTTTATCTCTCCAGAGACTCCAGAGCCAAGTGACCAGAAACCACTTGGAACACGTCTGGATATGTCCTTCACTGCTGTGTTTTTGGTCGTCAGGAGTGGAAAGCCTGGGCGATAGCAATGCGATAAAGATGTTAATTGAGACCATCAGCAACTTCTCCATCGATTCTATGATGATCCCCGTGGCTTCGGATTTTGATTGAGACCACACGAACCACTTCCTTTCAAAAAGACTTTTGGCCAGTTTTAAGCTGAGTACGCGATGAACCACCTAATATAATTAAGTTTGGCTCGAACTTTTTGTTGCCCAATGTTATTGCAATGCAAGCCGACACGATTCCGTTCCCTTTCCTCGCCCCTTTCAGTTTAACCACCTCCTCATCTTACGGTCCTATTGCCAATTCCATTGCCTTCCTCTTGATTCTCAGTCCCAGTCCCAACTTTCGCTCATGCTCGCTCATGCCTTTGGCTCATGCCTTTGGCTCATGCCTTTGGGCAGTTTGCCCATGCGGTGAAACTCAAAGAATCAGAATGCCAGATCCGTTGAAATTCAGCCCAATTATCCTTCTCCACCACCTCTATTACAACTCAATGATCCCTCCTCATGATTGACCTGCAAAAAAATAGTGCAAAGATACGGCCCAGGGTTACAAATACTATCTAATACTAGAGCTTGCGAGGGTGGCGTGACTTTCAGGATGCTTTAGCTTGCCAAGCGCCCTGTGTGCTGCGGACGACCTGACTGCCCTTGCCGCACGTTCGTCGCACCAAGGTGGCTGACCAGATAGCGCCCTATGCTGGGATGACCCTGGTGGAGGAGCTCAATATGTCTTTATACACCTCGGGTGCATGCACAGATACTATCGTCGAGGGGACCTCTTATTATGGACGCTGGGCGAAAGCGAACGGCTTTGGACAGTGCAAAACGGCCCTCCCAAAGGAACAGAGCACTCACTATGTCCTACACACTCAGTGGACAACCTGGCACCTTTGTTGGGGATTGTTTTTCCAACTTATATGATACAAACAGGTGGAAAAGGTTAACCTTGATTTTGCAGGGACACTGAGGGAGTCAGATGTTGGTAAAGGAAGAAGCAGAATCACTGGCCACTTGAGTCGTATTACTTTAATACGTTCTGGTAACTTTAAGGTTCTGGTTTGAGGAAATATGTCCAAGCGTGCCATATTTTTGTTGGCTGCTTCTGCCCATATTAGACCTGATGTCATGTGAGGTGCTGGAAGGGGGTGTTCGAGATACTCTGTTATGTTGTTGCAGTGTTTTGTAATGCAGTGTTGTGTGGTGGAGTGGTGCATAGAATCAGTTCTGTTTGATGTTACTTGTGATGTTACTTGCCAAGCCCACCTGCTTTGCTGACAACTGATCAGCAACTCTTTGCTACATTCAACTTATGGCCCGAACGGCACATGCACATTCAACCTGCCAAAACTGAAGTTGGCACATCAAATTGCTGCTGACTCCAGACATCTCTATTTATTCTTGGAAGATCTCAATTTTCTACTTTCAGAGACTCTTATATACTCCTCTTTACAAACTAATTTCTGATATACTATAGTCTGTAGTCTAGACATATCTACTTCTTCAAATGTTTCTTGGATTCTTGGAGGCTGTCTCGTTTCAATGCTCTCCCCTTGGGGTTCACTTCTTGGAACATCTCCACCAAGCGCGTCATGTCTCACGCACCCCATGATGCCGCCCCTGCTGGTCACCTTCGCCTCTTCGCCCCTTCCGGCGCCCCCGGCCCCTTCCGCACCGAGCATCCACCAAGCCTCGCAGCGAAGCACTCCCTTTCGCCGGAGACCGTCCTGAATCCATCTCCCTTGAAAGCGTTGAGTCTTTTTGCGAGCTCAAGAAGCACACTTGCACCTACGTTCTCCGCCCAAAACGACGTTTCCGTACGTGCGTTCCCCCGGAACTGTTTTAGCACGCAAGAAGCCGTCGAGATTCCGTTTGGTCTTTTTGTCGTTACACATTACACACTTGAGATATTATGCGTTCGATTTGATTGCTCCAAGCCCTGAAGAAGCCTCGGCACAAGCACAGAAGCCTAATCCAAGCATCGAAACTTCCAAGATCACATATAGTTCCAAAACATTATATACAGCCAATTAACGCCACAAACCATCAGCAGAGCAGGTACACGGAGCTCAGGAGCTCAACAATCTCCGCTTGCCCCATCATGCAATAGCTTCGAGACGGCACAGGTGTCCACCCACGATGGGCTTGTGCCCCCCTGCCTTTAAACAAAAAATAAAGCGACAGCCAAAAGGCTCCGTGTGATTCCAAGGACGACACACACATGTACACACACCTGTAAAACTACCTAATATTGTTTCCATTGTTTCTGTAACTCCAAAGTCTCCCTTTGACAATGTCAAGAAGTATGCCAACGAGACGGCACAAATCGAGGCACTGATTTCACATTTCTTCGATATGCAAATGCAAGGGAAACAGACATCCCATCAGGTGTTAATTTGGTGTATCCAGTGGTGCTGAGGCATTGAGTCCTTTGCCACGAACCTCAGCAACTACTGTTGTCCATCTGGCGCTCAAGTGGGTACCACTTGTGCCTGGTTCGGCAATACCGTTTGGCAGATGCTGAACACCACGAGCTGGATTTGATTCTGCATGCGCATGTCAACCTTGTTTGGTCCTCATGGCACGCTTTCCCGAAACTCAAAAACAAGAAAGGTTTCTTAAACATTGTGGCTTGACAAGGATTTGGGGATTGCTGCCAAGAATGACCTAAAGCCATGTGAATACCTCCTATACATCCCCCTTTTACCGTGTGTCGAGAAACCGTGATTGGATCGATCATGCCTATTTGGGTCCCATACAATGCCATACAAGAATCTAGATATCCTTTGAGAATGGTCCTTCCAATCGCCCATGCCTTGCCCAAGCGAACACGAACCTCAGAAAAGCATGTCATGTTAGGCTGGGCATCTCATGCCCTGCCTGAGAGGTTCCCAACAGACTCGCTGGCCCATCTATCAACCTCACAGAAGCTGACTGGTGCTTAGTAAAGAATGATCCTATGGTATCTCGTGAGCGGTCATTCTCTCATTCCCTACTAAGCGCCAGTCAGGAAGTGCTGCACAGCACATGTAACGACCGAAGCTCCGCACGGCCATAGCGAATTAGGTTGGAGGCCATGACTGCGACGTACGGGGGGGCACCAGCTCCGCGACGAAGCCATCGCTCCGCAGTACGTTGGATTCGGATGTTCCGATGTTCCGAAGTTGGTCAAGTTGAAACAGGTTACGTGGGCTAGTGGGAGCCAGGTGTTTTGTCAGGATGACGTTTGGTTTCTTGGTGAGTTACCACGCAGCAATTGCTTGGGGCCTTTCCACCTGACTCTTAGATGTTTGTCATGAATGTGAGTCAAGGTATGCATGCTATCCAGTTTGTTCAGCTTCTTTTCGGATTCATGTTAAAGACATCTTCCATTCATTGCACTGCAGTCGTCATGCATGTGGGACGGTGTGTGTTTGGGTTTCGGTAGGGCACCATTTGGTTCGCTATACCGAAGCCACGCCCATCAGGTGCCAAGTCGGTGGATTGCACCGTTTGGGCGAACGCGCTACAAGATCAAGCTTGCACAGCAGCCAAGAGCTGCTGGGCACCGACCTGGACCCGGAACGCGCTGGACCGGAAGATGAGCTTTTCATGAGAGGTGAATGAAGACACTGAGAGTCAGACTCGTGCTTAGTAGGCTGAAGAAGGAAATGGATCTTAAGGCATCTCTTGTGGGGGTTCATTCCCTCATTCCCTACTGAGCACAAGTCAGGAGTAGAGGACGGAAATGGAAGGAAGACCGGACGCTAGTGACTTCTTTGCTCTCCCTCTCCAGTAGAGTCGAGGCTTGTTGATTCAATTTTAGACATCTTAGAACTACGTGGCAATTTTCAATTGGGTAGTTGCATGTGAGCCAAGCAAAGTTGATAGACCCAATCTCTTTTAAGAATGCATCGGCAATCGTTTCTATGCTTATCACATCTCAATATAGTATAGCAAGTTTATAGTAACATAAATTCATGTATATATATATATATACAATAATACTATATACACATGCGTGTGCACTGCACAGCCCGCTGTGCAATATGTATATATGTACATATACACATGTTATATACATGTAATTGGTGACCAACAGCCCCACCCAAGTCGAGTTCATCATTTCACTCGGATTTTGGTCGCTTCTTGTAGCACAAGGCTATATGGAGATCAAGCAGGCCCTGCGGACGGAAGTGACCTTCAAGTGCAAAGCTTTTCGAGGTTCCGATGGAAGCAAGTGCACCATCGAGAACATGTTTGAGGCACAGGGTGTGCCCGTCAGACAGGTCGATTGGGAGATCCGAGATTTCGATGGTCATGGGTAAGTGTTGGATGAGTCATTTGTGATCTTTTGGTAGCTTCTTGCTGGTGGTTCATCATGGGGTTGCCAAAAAGAATCTGATACGATGATATGAGCCAAAAGAACCTGAAAAAGGGAGTCAATGACATCGATCTCAAATGATTAATATTGATGAACAACTTCATTTCTTCTATCAACATCTCATGTGTTGGGTGTAGACCAACAGACTTTCTGCCGGGCAGCTGCTATAGATCTGCTTTGCTTCTGTTACGAAAGCCAGCCTTCGTAGAAGGCGCCAGCGGAGTTGTGTTTGGCGAACGAAGTGAGTAGTTAGGCGGTCTGGGGGGGGGTGGCCCGCAAAAGGTACACGTAAACTCGACACATGCCGGGGGAGGAGGGTGCGTCGAGGGAAGGTTTTTTGAGGTTGTGTTGGAGGTGATTTTTGAGGGGTGGTGATGCAAGAAATGCAATTTGCATCATTTGCATGGACTCTGTAAACTTCGTTCACTCGGTTCAGATTCCGGAGTTTGCCGTTGGTTGTGACAGTTTGCCTCTTGTGTTGCGCGTCGAATGGAGGTGAGTGGAATCTACCAAAATGATTGTTTCGTGAATGGAACCTTGGAAACCATGGAGTACAACTGCAACCTGGAGGACTGCGTGGTTTTCCTGCCACTCTTAGTCTTGGCTTTTGCCTCAGCCGAGCCTTCGCTGTCCTTACGTTCACTTGCATGTACTGACTTGTGTGTTTTTAACACTTGAACACAAGCGATCGACCCTGCAATGTCAGTGTTGTCAAATCTGTCGGGAGGGACATGTCAGCATGCGGGGAAACAGGAATCCAGACACATTCGGATGAAGTTGTTCGTTTGTAAAGATCTTATAACACAGTGGACTTTTGCGTGGAACAAATGACGTTGGTGGGCAGTTGTTCTGGTGAAGCCATGGTTTGAGGCAGTTCCTTCATCCAAAGAGATTGCGCAAGGTGGTTGTTTTTGGTCTGTTTTCTGGAACTTCAACCATTTTATACCTCTATCCTGACCAATGGGGCGACCACTTCTCACTTCACGAGAGCACCGCTTCGCCCGCGAGGACTTTGCCACTCTGGTCACCAGTTTCTCGAAGCAGTTGAACCGAAGCGTGCAACGCCTCCCGGCACAGCGCAGCGAGTCAAGCGACCGATTCGGGAGGCGAGTCTGGCGGAGGTCGACTGGAGCGGTTGAGTCAAAGATAGAATCATGAAGAGGGACCACTGAAAGACATTTTTTGGGTTCTCTTTTTTATGTGTTTTTTTTGGGGGTGACTTAACAGGTGTAGCTCACGGCCTCACTTCTGGGGGAACTAAGTGGTGGCCATTTCTGAAAAGCACCGATGCCATTTGTGTGTCACTGACCGTCGTAGCCACGCGAATGCAGCGTTTTAGGTTCGTTGCATGACTAAGAGTTCTGACCAGAGCAGCCCAGTCTTACTGTCACTCTCCCTATCGGGTAGACAGAGGGTCGGAAATGCCCTTCATCCCCATGAACCAGCCCTTGAGACTCCAAAATGTGTGTTTCATGCCAGCTACCAAACATGGTTATACTATATGCGTGTTTTTTTTTTTCTGGGGGGAGCCTGCCTGTTTTTGTTCTCGAAGTGTCTATGACATTCCGAAGAAACAGATCTTGCTAGACCGAAGCTGGCAGGATGTTTCCGCAGCTGGATCTAGCCGATGTTTGTTTGCTACTCTCCCAACCAATTTAGCTTTTGGCTGAGTTGCCGCTATGTGCCAGAAGTCTCAACGACGCATCCCAAACCGTTTTGCGAGACGTGCTTCTGTTCGAGTATTATTGGGCTCTGAAAAAACCATCTCACTGGCACCTCCGTGGGGCGCAGCCCGCACCAAATGGGCCTGGCAGAAGCCGAGGATTGGATGAAGTGACCGCGACAGTGCTGGCCAGCATTGCGACCGACATGAAGGAGACGCTGATCGGTACGTGGCCGTTGTTCGTTCGTGCATTATACTTCCCAAACACTCCATGTATACCATATATATGCCGCCCCATTGACCCCCCTGGCACCACCACCCCTGGCCTGATCGGTAAATATGCCAGTCCCAGACGGGTCGTGTCGTGTCTGGGCTTATGACGTTCGTAGCTTTGTGGCATCCCTCACGTTCCGGCTGGTTCTCGTCTCGGAGACCTCGGGGGACGGACCGCACGGGGGACGGACCGCACGGGCCGATCGATCGAAGCAGACACGACTGGGACTGGCATATTTACCGATCAGGCCAGGGGTGGTGGTGCCAGGGGGGTCAATGGGGCGGCATATATAGTATTATATAGTATACATGGAGTGTTTGGGATATTAGTTTGAGTTTGACCCCCGAATCATCCTCAAATGGCATGTCCCTGGCCAGTTGTGGGAAGCAGGATGCGGGTGGTCCTTTGTTTTGAGCTAGGCCCATAATATGGCTGCTTGTCAAACATTTATCAACCCAGAAATCCTCAGGTTGACTCATCACGTTATCCCTTTGCCCAGAGTGTTGGATGGTATGTCTGAGTCATAGCCATGTAGGCTTTGGACATGTCACTGTGGATATGATGTGATGTCTTATGTGATGTGATGTCTTATAAATGAGCTGAGACATGGCATATGACATGGCATATGACATAATACTTACATATATCCTATGACATGAGATATGGGCTGCGTGACGTCAATGGTCCCCCCCGACCGCGTGACGTCAAGATTCCCACCGCGGCGTGAACCCACTGTGATTTGAGTGACTTGGTTGTGATGGATTTGGGTTTGTATGCCTTTGCTCAAGCCCGTTGAGCCACTTTGGGTTCCAATCTCCAATCTGATTGGAGAACTGTGGTTCAAGTCATCCTTGAGACACGAGACAGAACCCAAATCAACAGATTCTCACACATGTTCGTCCAACCTCACTATATAGACTACAAGCTGTTGTTTCACCACACCATGGATTCGAAGGGACTTCTACATGTCTCAGAGTCGAACACCGCGCGGGTCCGGTGAGGCCTTGGTCGAGGAGAACTTGCTTCAGCCCATTGAACATGTGGCCCGGAGGCTCAGAAGGCCTGGCGCAGAGCTCCGGTCGCACGGAGCTCTGCTGCACAAACGGTAGGGGTGGTTTGTCGAGAACCGAAATACCCTGGGGTTCGTCTCGCTGAAAAACGTGTCCAGCAAGTCTGTCAGTCACTCTTCGATGCAGGTGCTTGCACCTCAATCTTTAGCGTAGTAGCATAGCTTGCCTTGTAGAACCCCTGGCTTTGGGTAACACTTGGAGTTCTGCAATGGACCAGAGGGAGCAACATGGAGCGACCACTCGTGGGGTCATTTTGTGAAAGCCAAGAGCAACATGTGTTCCTTGGATAAGTCCATGTTTTTTTCCCAGCGTGCATGCAATAGCGAATTCATAGGAAATGGTTCAGTACTTTCTAGATCTTCCTAAGTGTACCAATTGACGCTGCATTCGCTGCATTTTGCCGGGAGGACCGAGGACCGCGTCACGTGCGTTCCTTTTGCTTCTTTCGACTGAGGTCGAGGGGGTCACGTGTGGCTTTATGGCCACAATGCACCTGGGCGAAAGAACTTGGTGATATTAGTAGCTACTTGTTACTAGTACTAAGGCCCTTTGCTCCTAGTAGCGATGCACTTGTTACTAGTAGCTTATTGTTTCTAATAGCTACTTGTTGCTAGTAGCAATGCCCTCCAACCTTTTAATAGCAATGGCCTCCACCCTAGCAGCTTTTAGGAGAGGTCTTTTGGGATGTGGTCAGTCTGGAGGTGACTTGTCTCGAGTCTGGAGGAACCATCACACTCTAACAAACTGCACGGACGAAACCATACGGAGCCGATGGTTTGTAAGCCAGAGCGATCTTGATCTCGCCAACGTCTTGGACTGTGCCATTGATCATGGAAGTTTTTTGAAGCCTGGCACTTCCGGTCCTAAAACGAACCACATGACATATATATTAGTCAGGTTCTAAACGATTTTCACCCACGGCCTTGGAACCACAAGACTTTCTTGTGCGGGGTACTCAGGTGGGGTCCAGACATCTCTCACTCTCTTCTTGCGGAGGAATTGATGGGATCATCCCAGGCATTTTGAGAGACCTCAGGATTGGTATTCTGAGTCTTAGGCATGAAGTGAAACATTCGGATGACCCAACGTGGCAAAAGCAGACAGATCTTGTGTGAAAGGCAAAAGGATCTGAAGATAAAAGTGGAATAGATTAATAAGGACAGAGAGATGCAGGTACTGTACTGTAGTTGAATTAGAAGCCATCAATAGCCACCAAACATGTTGAGTTCGCATTTGAATTCCAAACGCCTTGTTTCACAGAATGCTGCTGTCACCTTCCCACAAGTTCGACCAACCGCGATCCTTTAAAAGGCTTAGCTTGCTGCAATTGCTCTGAAGATGATGTTCGGCAAGCATGTGTGAATTATCCTGACATGTTTTTTTGTTTGAATTACAGTATCAGGTAACCATGACCTGGTAGTACCAAGTGCATGGATGTGACCATGTTTGTGGTTTTTGGCTGGTTGGCCCGGTGACCAGCGTTCTAGAACCTTTATTGTGGGCCCCTCCCAGATTGGACGCCTGAATTCCTAAATTTAAATCGATAGACAAGGTGAATCGTTAAATAATGAACACTGTACATTCTTAGAGATACCCTCCATCCAACAAACATGGAAAGGGGACACATGGCCCCGAAAGGCAGAGTGTTTTCCTCTACGAACAGGCTGTATTCCACTTCCATTATTGTTATTTTTTTGGTGGGGTAGTTTGATTTAGGTTCAAATGATAGTTTCCAGGTATCAGGACTTTGTCGACGGCATGTGCTTCCGTGGCGTTTGGGGCTTCACTGCCATCGTGGCCTCCTACGTGGCCAGTGCGGTGCTCACGATCTTCCTGGTGATCTTGGTGTACCTGAGAATGCGATGTGAGTACAGCTATGAGCCTCAAACCATGAGACCTAAACCACTCGCCTGTACACCGTGTTCCGCAGAGTGCTGGCGTAGTGGGTATTGACCCACAGCCAAGATGACCAAGTTGGTTCTGCTTGGGTTGAAGCAATTAATGGAATGTGAGAGGGCTTGCTTCCGATGCCTAGAAGGTTTTTTGAGGGGTTCGAATGCGGTACCCCCTATCGACCTCTTATATCCTCTTATCCTGTCGACCTTTTCGAAGATGATACCTCAATCACAACCCAAGTTGGTCTACCAGTTTCTACTTTGGCTCTTGAGAGGGTATGTCTTATCTTGCTTTACTTCAGCTCAACAAGGAACGCCATGACAAGACCTGGACTTCCTGTCCAATGAAACCACTCGTGATGCCGAGCGGCCGAATGCGGACTCTCGGGACCGGTGAGGATCCAGGTTCCTCTCTGTGTTTCATATAAACATAGGAGGAAGACAAGGGCGATGTTGGCCAAACATGTTGAGATTGAGATGCTCTTTCTTCACTGCATTGGCTCTTCACTGACAGCGATTTGAGATGATGAAGGTAGGTACATGGAGCAAATACGTAGCTTGTTGATGATACTGGCGGAGAGTATTCACAGCACGTTGTCCAACAGTCTTGGCAGTATTGGAGTACGCTATGCGTGTAAAAAGATCTGGGAGGGCTTATTGAATCTCATGTATTGGACTATGTGTACGAAAACAGCTGGGATGTCCGTTTTGATTGTCTTGCATGTGTGTGCACCCGTCCAGGTATTTTATTTGGCGTTTTGCGCTTGATAGTTATGAGTTTGACATGAAGCCTTTGCGGACTCCAGACCGTGAGTGAGCCTTTTTTCTGAGCGAGCCTACCTGCAGAGAGGAGAGACATCAAGAGGTAGTATGTATCTAAGCTAGATCAACATCGCACGTAATCAAAGTGAACTTCAATAAAGGCCACTACCAACATATATGGTGATAGATAGTCATATTTTGACTGCTTCTAGTTGCTCCTGCAGGACTATCCAACATCTCCACTTTTTCTTTCGTGGCCTAAATTACGATGGGTGATGCCATGTTGCTTTCTTCTCCAGGACACGGGAAGGTACACCCTTCCCCATGGTGCCTGCAGCATTGCTTTTTTGACCAGTAGTGCCACATAGTGCCACTATGGCATACTGTGGCGATAATGCTGATGAGCATTGACCTACTCTGAGTTCTCAAACATTCTCCACAGGACCAGACCCGATCAGATCCCATCCCCTGTGCAATGTTGCTCCAAGTTGACTTTAAGACCGACTTCAATCGATGGCCACGAGTCCCACTAGTGTTTAAAGAAGGTGAGTCTTCTCCTCGTGACATTTGTCAGACTTCCAACATCCCTGTGCAGAAAGGCCAGTGCAGATTCTCTTGATCACTTGTTCTACTTCGAACCAGGCCGTTGAAATGGAGTGCCAGCAACCAAGTGCCAAATCCTCGAGCTTCTTCCTTGGACAAAATACCAGAAGTCAGGCTGACTCCGACCATTGAAATCTTGAAGCTTCTCATGCTTCTGGAATTCGTCAGTTGATGCCGCATTGCTCCACGCTCGCATAGCAGCGCGCGGGCTTGGCGATTAGCTAGGGTCTTGATAATGCACATGTTGTGAAGGCAACGTGGGCTCAGTCTCAACTGGAGGCCCAGAAAGTAAGTCTGCATTTCAGCCTGTTCGCACTTCATGATACTTCGTCATGTTGCTGAAATCATGTTTCTCTCAAGAAAGAGAATTTTGCGTTGCCTTTGCGACTTTGGCTGGGCCAAACATATGCGGCTTATGGCCGATGTCGCTTGCCAGGGCTGGGCAAGGCATCCTGTGGATTCAGTAATTACCTTGGGTGAATCGCTGGGAGAGCGTTGGAAGAGAATACAGCTTCCACGTGAGTTGTTGGTATCATCCTTTGCCCAGAGTTCCTGGTGTTGCACGACGAGGTCATTGGCGAAGCCAAGTGACTGTAAAGAAAGCAGCTCAATGTCTAAACTACATTTATTGCAGTTGAATATTGCTTGGATAGTTATATTGCAGATTGAATATCTAAATATTGCAGTTGAATATTGAATATATTTATTGCAGTTGAATTGCAGGATAGTAGAGGCCTTTCAGTGGAGTATTGTTTCTGCAGGATAGTAAGCCACTCCGACTTTGTTAACACCATCCTTTGGTCTACTGCCTATACTGTATAAGGAGTTGTTTCTTTCTTTTTGTGTGTGTGTGGCCTTTCAAAAGTCACTCATTTTCGCTTGTACTCATGGAAGTTCTTTATCGACGACGACAACAATAACAACAATCACAGCAAGGTACAAACAGAAAACTGTCAGCAAGGAGCCCTGGCCCCGCTCCGACATCTTGACAGGGTGTCCCGTCGTTGTTGCTTGCACCCCAATCACAACAACCACATCAACAAATACAATGCTCTCACTGTCCTCCATGCTTTGTTTACAATAACTGTTTGCCCAGAGTGTGAGAGCCGCTTTGACCATCCACGGTCCGTGAAGGGCTTCCAGACTCCTACGGATGTTTTGTTTGTTTCAAATGATTATATAACAGATTAACATTGATAAACGCTATGACTGAAAGGCTTGAGCGCTTGAATTGTTGATATTCCCTTTTGTTGCCATCACTTCACTTGGCTTTGGAGCAACATTCCAACTATCAATCAGAACAGCCGCCTTTGGATCCCAGACCTGTCAAAACTTGTGACAAAATGTGTTCCTTTAAAGCAAACGTTGAGCTGCGTTCTTTGGGCCGCGCGGCCGCGCGGCCGCGCTCACTGGACTGCTCAGTGGGGCCCTGTGAGTGCGTCTGCGTGGTGTGAGCGACGATCTCGCCCTGGTTGGGAGTCGCTCAGCTTAGCGCTTTTCCACGCCCAGTGACATGCCTATATTCTTTTTTCAAGGAACACTCAGTGCATCTCAGTGCGACTTGTGGAGCTGGCCCAAGCCATGTCCATGTTTTGCAAAAAGGACGAGTCGCGGAGTTTGGCGTGGCGTGTCGACTTTCGTCGAGACACGGACAAGAGTTTCAAACGAGAGGGTGTCCACTTTCTCCCTGAAAACCGCACCATGAAACCCAGGACATTTGGAGCAAATTTTGCTTGCTTTGGCAGATTCAGTCTGTCTTGAGGGCTCCACCCCAAAAAGAACAACAGGATGGTCGACAGGACTATGCTTTCTTTGTCAGAGAACAGGAACGTGCGGAACATGGGTTGTGGGAACCGACTTTCAAGGATCATCATTGTCACCGGCATTCTTCTTTGGCCTTTGTTCCTTCTTTGCGGAGGCTTTGGGTCAACATGCTAATGGCGAAACATTGCAAGATGGCGGATCCGCGTTGTAGCTCAAACCTTTGCCCAGGCCCATCTCGCCTAAACACAGCAGGGTGATTTCACTGTTATAGTGTGCTGTAGTTGTTCATGGGCCACAGTTGGAACGGATGAGCTGCAGCATGTGACAGCACGCGGCTCAATCGCCTCAGCCCCGCGTTTGTAGCAGTTTGTTTGTCAGTCGGTGCAAGCACGCACACAATCGTACCCGTTTGTGGGAAGAGGAAGGAAGAATCACCTCAACATACCTCAACCCACCCAGTGCGTTGTCGAGGCAGCTAAACTCCAGGGATGGTTTCATTGTGGTCCAAGAAACTTCATTTGGGATAGCTTGCTGAGCAAGAAGTGGAGAGGATGCGAACGGATCTCCTCGTCAGCCTTTCTTTCCACTGGGATAGTCACTTGTTCTTTCGTTTCATTTTTTTTTTCGTTTCAACTCTTTAAGCATCTGAAACCTTTCTCGAACACACCCCTGGGGTGTTTGTGTTCGACCCTTCCACTGCCTCTTTTCAAAGAGAAACCGAACTCCACAGGTGGTGATCGAGCTCTTCGTCCCCTGAGGCACCAAGAATCCTTCGAAAAAGCCGTGGCTCCTTGATCCAACCGTCGCCGAATGGCCGGCGCTTCCAGGCGCTTCCACCTTCCCATGTGACGTTTGTTCTTCTTTTGGGGTGAAATGATGTGAAAATTGTGTGGAGATGAAACGTCTCGGTTCCCGTCGGTTCCTAGGACTTTTGAAGGATCCCTTCCTTCGTCTTCTATTCAGATTTGCCTTTGGCAAAGCCACCAAACTGTTCATTTGCAGAAGAGATAAATGTGTTTAAAAGCAAACTCAAGGCCCTTGATCCGGAAGAGACTTCAATAGACCTACCAAAGAACATCCAGAACAGCACTTGGGAGTTCGACATCTCCCCGTGTCTACCAAGCTTTGGCTTCAATGTTGGGCGGGGCGTTTGGATGCTTCCTGTGCTGTGCTTGGATGATCTTGGAAGATCACGGAGTCCGCCCCAGCAGGCAAAGTCCATCGCTGGCGTAGACGGTCGCGTCGAATGGCTCAAGGACCTGAGAGCCGACTATCCCGCTTCTTTCGTTGGACCTGGTAGACAGCAGTCGTTTTGGAATTCCTAATCGTATGCGACACGTTTGATCGGGAATTCGGGGAACTCGCATTGGTTGCAATCGCATTGCGAAACTAGCTGCGGGAAGGAAGGTCCAGAAAAGCAGGCAGATTTTCAAAAAGAAGATCTGAACACACTGAGGATGCTGGGAGGTGTACTGGGTGATTGATACCCTCTCGAGTGATTATTCTGTTCGGGCAAAGCCATGCCAAATGTCAGCTTCAGCTCTTGCTACCTGCAATACATTATTTGCTCACCCAGGGCACTGGCATTTTATGCTTGCACCCGGCTTGCTCAAAAAGGCGCGCCTGATAAATCCCTATACCCTCCTTGTTGCCCTGGTTACCTCGACCGTCATACACCATTCTTTGGAGACGACGCTGCAATTCCAAGAATCACCTCACTGCCTCTTACTGTAGTTGAGATTGAGTATGGTTTGTTTGCAATTCTTGCGCATCGCCAGTTGTTGTCAGAGCCAGTGAGGCTAGCTTTGGCGATTGTCACTGGCAGTATTTTTAAGGTCACCTCACAAACCTCGTAGGAGTGGGGAGAAAACAAAGTTGTTTGACTCTCATGTGCCGCCCGGTTAGACATCTCTCTAGTCACCCCCGGCGGCGTTGGGTTCTGAGGAGACCGCCAGCACGAAGCCTCTCTTGGACCTAAATTACTGGTAATACTGTTCAGCTTTGTATAGAGGTCAAAGTCAAGTACACCTCCGGGCAAGAGGATGCTGATACAGTATTTGACAAATATTTGATGATATGCTATGTCTGAAAATGATGCTTTGTCAGCCTTACTTTTTGTATTCCTTTTGCACATAAAGTTTAAAGTTAATCTGACAAGAACCTGGTTCCGTCAATTTGCTTTCATCTTTCATGATCCACTCATGAGATTTGGGATCATCAGAGCAGCTGGGCTCGTGTTTTGATCGGAGCCATTTGTGAGCTGATCGGCGGCGAAGCAGGTGAGGAGCCTTCTGCCATGTTTTGCTGATTTGATAAAGAGGTTGCAACGTGGATGTAAAGGTTAGGTGACGCGGTTTGTGTCTTCAGTCTCCAGCAGCCGTTTTTTGTTTTAGATCGACAGCGATCCTGATCCAAATGTATTAGTATCAAGGATGCTGCATTCGAAAGCATTCGAGGCCCTACAACTGCAGCCAGTATGATTGACTATGGGAGCCTACTCCCATGAACGTTCCATGGTGGAAGAGCCTCGAGGGAATTGTCCCCTACAATGGAACGGCAAATCGGAGAGTATGTTTACCCTCCCGTCCCTCCGTCCCTCCCTCCCTGCAGCGATTGTTGGGTTGATATTAGAGTTGTTGAATATGGTTGAATGTTGGATTAATTTTGTCGTCGTCCATCATTAATCATCAACAACATCATTATCCCAACCTTTGTCAGGCAACATGGCCTGCACGGCCCGATGGAATGAGCCTGGGCAGGCAGGACCACAGAGGGAGCGATAACGTTTTGTTGTAGGCAGGAAGTTGGAAAGTACCAAGTACCCAACATCGTCCAATATGCCATGCATGATCAGAAACATGGCATGATCACTGGTGTGGAGAATCTACTAAGACTTAGTAGCTATGTGTATAAATAAGTGATTGACATGGCTGGGGTTACACAGGAATGGGTTAAGGCCAAGGTATCCTGGTTTTGACCCACAGCCAGGTGGCTGTTGTATGACTCGACGCAGCCCAGGCGCGAAGCCGAGCATCTCCACAACGCCGGGCCAGTCTGGGTGCCCAGGATGCAACGAACGGACAGCGGATGGTTTTGGGTTCGATTTAGACACCTTGAAATCATCATGGAATTGGAAAACCACGGGAAAAACCACCTGTTAAGTAGAGCATCTCAATTCGGGGCCATCCACGCAACCATGATTTCGAGAAAGGTAGACTGGTGTTGAGAATAGGAGGGTGTCTCTGTTACACCCAAGGCTTCAAGACTCGACTCTTCATGTTGACAGACCACCAGGAGGGGAGCCACCTCATCAGACGGTCGCCCCACGTGCTTCCCAGGGCGTCCGATCCGGGAAGCTCATCGTTCACTTCGAGGGAAACGACGAGGGGCTCGGGTGTGATGGATGGATGGTTTGGGAAGACCACCAGGTCTGGGTTCCAGAAGCTGAATTGTCTGAAGCAGGCTGTATAGACCCGGTCCTTCTGTGGAGAACCTGAGCAACATTTAGGTTTCAAATTTGTGACCCTAAAATATGAGCCTGTGTGAGGCTCACAGAATCCTTTAGATCAGAATGTCTGTCCATGTCCGTCTTTTTGTCATGTGATGTCATGTTGTTGTTTGTTTTCACGGCCGATCGCATGAATCGCGCATATTCAACGAAGCGAAGAAGGGGTGTCTTCACCCTGGCACCTAGGTGAAGAGCGTGAACTTGTATGGGTCCGGGCCTCGGGCGGCTAGCCTCGGTAGACCCAACGAAAAGAGGGTCCCACCGTTTTCGACGATGTACCGGCGGACGCCGATGTAAATATGTAAATGATGCCGGTGCGTCACTTTGGACATCATGCAGACAGGTTGCGAGAAATGGTGACTTCAGGACATCCTTGAAGGTTTGATGGTCGTGCATTGCTCGGATGGTTTCACAAAATTTGCAGGGGACACGGCCTCTGAGAGGATGCATCGGTCAGACTTGTAATGATTTCGGATCTCAGCATTTGCTGTAGAAGATGTGCAGAAACCATGAGAGGTGTCGAGAACATCGTCCCCGAAGACCATCACCCAAGCCTACCTGAAGTCTCACACGGGAGGCTTCAATGTGCTGTTGTTCACCAGCATGTGCTTTCCGTCCTTTTCAACCTATGGAAATGCCGGGAGTCTTCGATACTTGCTTTTACCCCAACGATCCTTCCTCAAAGGATCCATTCCACGCTTCAGATCCATGTCATTGCTACGAAAAAAATAATCGGCACGGTTTCATCATGTCTCATCCACCAAATTCTTCCAAGGCAAAGGTCAAAAAGATCCAACGAGCGTCGGGGTTCACCTCAAGAAATGAGATCATGACCTCAGAGGTTTGCGTGGTGCAGCATATTCTTCCAATCCGTGGTTTCATGCAGTTTGACCTCTTGGGGTCCCCAGTTTGACCCATGTCCGCATAGAACTCTGGCCTCTTTGGCACTTCCTTTCTCCTTTCGTTGTCGCCATGCCCAAGCGATGGCGCCCTCCGGACCCCACTCCGCCCAAGCCACGGATGGACAAGGCGCGGTCAGCCGCCGAACGCGGGGGGTTCGGTCGACGCACCGAACGGGGCGGGTGATGGTTCGATGGGTGGAGGACGAACTGGGCGATGCTTGAAGAACGGGCGATTCGCTTCGGAAGCGAAGGTCATGAAAACGAAGATGGAAACGAAGCCCAGAAGGACCATGTGAATGAAAGACGATGTGGGGAGAGTAGTGGTGCCATCCACTTTCCATGATGAGTTCAGGGAGAGTAGTACAGTGGTTTGAAGATTTGGGGAGTATGAACCCCATGCATGATACGACAAGAGGTCCCCAAAGGCGACGCTGCCGGAGGTTCGAAGTAGGAACCTGACCACCCCAAGGTTTGACCACCTAAGGATTATAGAACAAGGCCTGGCATCCCCACCCACCCTCATGTGGTACATAGATGGATTTGCCCAAGAGGTCAAGAGTCAAGAGCTTTGCGTGGCAGTTTGTGTGGGTTTTGACAACCGTGTTTGCTGAGTGATTTGCTGTTGCAATAAGGCCAATACAATAGCGGATGCTCGTTAAATGGGTTTGCTATGGTTTGCTCTAAATATTGCAGCTAACACTAACCCTGGTGTTTTTTCTTGCAATGAGGCCAAAGACAATATGCCTGCTTTTTGGTTTGCCTTATCTACAATACAAAAAGTCGTTTTGGGAGTCAGGTCCAGACCTGACTCCAGAAAAAGAGTCAGGGCGACTCCCCCGTGAAAAACCTGAAACGTCGTGTGCGATGATCGTTGTGCTTTCCATCGGCGATGCATCGACAGAATCCCTCGCCGCCAGACTGCCTCCGAATTCGTGGCAGAGATGAAGGAGCAAGAGGAGGCCGGGAGGAGACGAGGATGGGCCTTTCGACCGCGGCGGTGGGCGGTTTCGGTGGTTTGGGGTGTTTGAAGCGCAAAGCGCTATACTAAGGGGATGGGCAGTGAAAAAAGGGCCGTTCGTGGCGGGAAAGAGCAATTAGGAGCAAGAACGCTACCTAGGGGCTCCTGGCCTTACGACTATAGGAACAAGAAGCTATAGGGGCTCCTAGCATCGCTACTAGGGGCAAGAACGCTACCAATTGGGTGGGTTCGGTCGGAAAATTACGTATGGTGACTCAGGAAAGACACTTATGGGAAAGGTTTTCACCAGGCTCTCATGATCTATGTGCGTTTTCTGAACAAAGGAGTTCTGATCTATGCAACACAGCGGTGCTCAGGGTGCAGGAGTTCCTGAGTTCCTTCAGTTCACTAGTATCTCAGTTCCACCGAGTGCGCTACGGAATAAGGATCTCCAAGCCGCTTGATCACTCAAGAGTGTGAAAGCGTACAGCGAGCACGGTAATGCCAGCCTGCACATTCGTTTTGGATGCTTCTGCTTCTTGCGAGGGTAATGACAAGCTACATAATAAATATCCTCACATTCACGATCATTGACAATCATTGAGAGTAATAGTGGGAGGGCTTTTATAGGACAGCAGCACTTGCTTCATGCCCTCAGTTGGTGGCGGTCAACTGTTGTTGGAAGTTTTGTCTTGACAAGACTAGATACGAAAAGAGACATGTGGCTATGGCTCCCGAGGGTGACATCCAATCCTGTGTGGTAAGCTCCGATAGATAGATAGATGGAAGAATAGACGACCACACACTGCTGGTCAGCCCGGCTCACAAAGTTTGTTGAGCTAGGTCCATGTGTCCTTTGACTCACAGAACATTGGCGCTTGCCAAACCCGAACATGTGCCGAATGGCAACTCGAAGTTTGGCTTTCACAACTCGCAGTCGAAACGAGGTGGTGAGTCCTAAGGATCGAGGTTTCGGTTGGTTCGGCTTGTCAAATCGTTTCAGGCGGTGGATCAAAACCAGGAAACCTTGGTTCGTTGGTTGACCTACCTGGAAGGGCCTCAGGTTTTGTCCCCCACTGGCTCTTCCCCATGTTGAGGCCGAAAGGCTGAAGAAGAAGGGCAGTACCAAGCTGGCGCAGTTTGAGAAGGAGTCGATCGATTTGGACGAACGGCTGTTCTTGATGTTCTTGTCAGATCCATTTCTAACTTTCTGAAGCCAACAGCCTCTTTTCCAGAAAGGCACGTTGACGAAACCTGCTGAGAACGGATCATGTTTTTTGGCCCAAGTTCAAGGACGATTGCAAGCGATGGTCACCCACCCATCCCCATTCTTTTTCTGAGCTACATGTTGCACACTGCGGAATGTGTGTGTGTGTGTGTGTTTGCTGTGGAGGAGTATGGCGATCCGGACAACCAAACGGGCGCCATCAAGACCCCTGCCGAACTCCAATCCGCCGCCGGGCCCACAGCGCCGCTCGGCCGGAAGACTGGTCTACTTCCAGCAATCGTGGAGTGTCGTGGATCTGGAATCAGTTCCGTTGGTCAGACCATGCGTGGCCTTCAGACCACGGTATCATCACCAGATGCCTACTGCCCATTTGGTTTTGCTCAGGAACAGTGTCGAGCCTTTCCTGAAAAAGCGGCTCCATGTGTCAATAGGGTCCTTTACTTTCCCCATGTTGACCATGTTGATGAGCTTCGAGGCAACACTGACCAGTGCCATGCGGTTTAGTTAAGTTTCATGTTGTTTCTGTTTGATCTAAGCAAATCATCAAGCAGGTGGAACTCAGTGTTCTTTTTTAATCGCCTTCGCGGAGGCTACGCGAGGCCGTTTTTTGCTGAAGGGTAGGCTACGCGCTGGCTACGCGGTAAGGGGAACTCCACGAGAGGCTACGCAAGGTCGCTTTTACTGCAGAGGCAGGCTACGCGGTGCCTACGACGCGCAATACTTCCCCTACGCGAAGGCTACGCCAAGCTCTAAGACTGCTTAAACGTAGGCTTTTTTTGTTGGTGGCTACACGGTACAGACATTGCTCCAAAAAACGCTACTCAGTTTGATACTGACTTCGGATCCATGCATCAAACGTCCGAGTCGCTTCTGGTCGGTACCATGTCAGACAGTCCGGTTGGGATCGATCCCATCCCAACGGTCGGCCGGCCAGTCCGGTCTTTGTTGTGATTTCTTAAGGGAAAGGCTATAGGCTTCTGAGACTTCAGAAACTGCTCCTTGAGACTCGCTGACTATTGGCACCACAGGTCCCAACCGGTCCAGGTCGAGCGGAGGTTCGACCTCCGGAGGTCCAGGTCTTTTTTGGCTCCGAAAAGTGCGATGAAACTTGGATCCTGAGTTGCAAGCAACTGGAAGACCTTTGGATGGAGATTCGGATGGAGACGGGATGGAGACGGGGTGTTTCTTAGATGGCTCAATGAGTGTCAATGTTGTGCTTTAAAATGCAAGCTCAGCATTGAGACATGAGGGCCAGCCTTGTTTGCTCATTGTTTGTGAGGTTCTTGATTACAGCAACATGAGTCGGGTCCCAGTCGGGTCCCTGGTCCGCATCACCTTGCTGAGGCCTCCAAAAAAGAAGAAGAAGGACAAAAAGAAGGATAAGAAGAAAGACAAGAAAGACAAGAAGAAAAAGAAAGATAAGAAAAAGAAGAGCACCAGCAGCAGCAGCAGCGACAGCAGCAGCGATGGACAGAAGCCGAAAGGAAAGCTCTCAAAAAAGAAGAAAAAGGACCGAGTGAGGCTGCATTCATGTTCCGGTTTTCTTTGTGTATGTTAAAACCATACCAGCTCCACTATGCTCCACCGTGATTCTCAGATGGAAGAACTCCCAAAGGTCATGGGGTCCACCTCGGAGCTCGGCACGAACCGAGCCGCCGATTTGGGGACCTCGTCGGTCGGGTACGAACGCGAGGAAGCGGTGACCGCGACGACGGGGTGGAAGATCTCCAGCTTCCTCAAGGCCCGACACCGACGCGCGTCGCGCGGGTCAGTCGCGCGGGGCACCCGCCGGAGTTGAAAATTGCTTGGGATCGGGCGCCGCGGCACCTGGGCGGCCTTTGCGGTATGAGATCTTCACCACCGGATATATACGTGATGAACCCAACCCATGGACAGAACCGAGGACGGACTCATGGACCGGTCTGGAGACCTCTTTTTTGTGGCAAGTGAGGTGATCGATGGGGACATGTGGAGACCATGCGCAGACTGAGTCCGGTGGTGATTGGTCTGGTGGGGTCCATGTGCTGCAGCGCTGTAAGATGCTGCTTAAAGAAGATCTCAGAAGTGATGTTCCTTGAGTTTTCAGGTGTTACATATACTTGTGAGTGAAGAGCCCTACCTTTGAGTCAGAGCTTGAAGTGTGATTGTCGGAGACAAAGATATCAGCATGACCTATAGTCACGATAGTCATGGCAACTGAAAAACAAGTGACCAGAAGAGATGTTTCGCTGTACGAAAGTCCCAGACTACAGGTGTCGGTGTCCAGGAACCCGTTGGTTCTCTTTCACAACAGGTGAGGAGAACTCCTTGCCTTGCAGTGATGTTTTGTGCAGGATTGGGTTCAAAAACGTACAGCCATGTAGGGGTGACAATGGATCCTAAGCCTAAGCCAGCAGCCCACATTGGACTTTGGACTTTTGAGATTGTCCAACATGTTTTGCTTCGTGACTTTGTCAAGCACTACTAATGGAGGACAGCAGAGGAGTTGTGTTACCATCAACGTCCCTTTCTTTTTTCCACCTAGGTCTTCAAACGAGCAGAAATAAGTGCTCAACCTGCGTTTCGTAGCACTTTCTTAAGAATCGAGCACTTTCTGGATAAACGAGCAGTTTTTGTAAAACGCGCAGTTTCTTGTGTGTCCGGCGCATTTTTTCAAGGCCGCACTTCGAGCGCAAAATTCCGCACACGAGCGCAAAAAAGCGCACACGAGCGCACTTTGGAAAACTGCACCTGTTTATTTTGCTTTTCTTCATTTGCAGCTCGAGCACTTTTTTGCAAAACGAGCAGTTTACACCTCGAGCACTTATTTCTGCTCATTTGAAGATCTAGGCAGAACAAGAAGGGGACCGCAGAACATGCCGCATCGGCGAAACCATCCCGTTCGAAGGATCCAGAGACCTCACGGAGACCACCGTTTGACAGTCCGTGTTCTTTTTGTCAAACGGTTTTTTGTTTGCTCGACCAGCCTCGGAAGGGCTCAAAGCTCACAATTTCCAGGGTGCCAGAGAAATATTAAATAATCATGGAATAGCATTTAATATTATATACTGAAGTATGCAACATGCTGGCCTTGTGGTTGGTTTGTGTGAATGAACAAGGCAGAAATGTTGAATAGTTGGAAGATCTAGGTATCTTTTTTTTGTATATATGATATAGCTCTCTATACGCCTTCTCATCGGACAACCGATTCGTTCGGGCTTCAAACCTCCGTTTTTGTTACTGGTTTTTCCGCAGTGGTCCTGAGGCCAGCGACTCCGAATGATGGAGGATGCCAGCTGTTTGTGAAGTAAACAAGACTCTGTAGAAAAAAACGGATCAAGCTCTTGATGGAAAAACTACTATAATAGAGATTTATCTGAATCAAAGGAAAATGGCACATCTACAGAGAATTCGTTTCGGATAGCGGACACTCCGCGAGTTCGAGGCTCGACTTGCGGGTTGATCCGACCGGTGCTGCAAAGACCCTTCTCAGGGGGTCGGTGCTTCAGGCTGCGAGTGGATGCGAGTGATCAAAAGCGTGGCACGGCTGCGTCGTTTTCTGAAGTCTGAGGGCTAAGAGTCGTTGAGAATGGAGCGAAAGAGCATGTCATCATGCCCGAAAGTTACTAGTAGCGATGCCCTTGGCTCTAAGGGCTGAGAGTGGTTTTTTTGGGTGGAACTTCGTGCTTCCAACATCTTCCAACATCACCCAAGCTCCGATGGATCCATTACTAGGAGCAAAGGGCATCGCTACTAGGAGCAAAGGGCATCGAAGCTCTACATCCAGACACATCGAGTCACATCCGTGTCACATCCAGTCACGTGTGCGATACAGGAATCCCTTCCGGAGAGCGTTTGTCAGGGTGTCCTTGTTTCGTACATAAATTGGTGTCTTTGTTGCTCTACAAAATGCAGTAGGGTTCCTGGGCTATGCTATACTTAGTATGTTCTTCTTCTATACTTGCCTTTAATGTCGATCACAGATATTGATTTTCTCGACCGGCAATAGATTTCCCTCCTTGTAGACAACTGTTGTGCCAGAATGGCAGTGGAGAGTAAGCAATGGGCCCAACCAACACATGCAAGGGCAGGTGAATACTCAATTGTGTGTCCTCCAAATTAAATGGTCTTCCATGAAACACGCAAACAGAAAGAGATACAAACATCCTGTCGACTGTGAATAATATGGACAAGTCTTTTGCTCCGCATGGGGTTACCTCGCAGAGTGCTTGAGCTATTTGCTAGTCTTCACTTGCAGTGCTTGACTTTGTTCGCTTAGGACGGAGATTTCTGGCATTATTTGTGGGTTTACAATATTGAACACCCTCAAGAAATGGTAACTGGACAGAAATATCTTGGTTACCAGCAAGGATCGTTTCTGCTTGTTTCACTGAGTCTACAGATTCTATATGTTGGTTTCAGAGCGTGTTTTTTCATCCTGGTATGTCCTTCCTTTCATTTGGCCGTAGAGAAAGCACGATTTTTGGATCTTGACCTTGATTGAAACTCCAACAAAACCTGAGTTTTGAAGAGGATGTGTCTTTCGAGGAGAGCGCTGGGCAAGTGCGGGGCAGTGTTAAAGCTTCTCGTTCCTTCTGACGTTCACACAGAACATTCATAAGATGAATTTGGATCGTGGTCATCCCCGTCACCCATATCCCCCAAAAATGCATTCGAGAATTGGATCATGGATAGTGTTTGGAGGCGTGACTCAAGCACGCGACAGAAGCCAGAAGCACCCACACCATGCCTTGCCTCTACGTGACGATCGCCACCCTGAGGCCCCTTGGCCCACGTTGAAGAACGAGCGGCCAACCGGTGCCAAAGGTGCGGTTCCGCACCCCTTCACCCCTTCGGCGATGCCCCGGTGCAAAAGGAGCGGGGCGTCACCGCAGAAGCCCAGGAACGGCGGAACCTGGGTTCCGAACTCAAGTTGGGGCCTTCTTTGAGCTTTCGGGATGTCCCTTCTGCCGGCAGTGACTGTGACCGAGCAGAATCTACTTGGCCAGTCTGCGACATGTTAGTTGGAAGGAGCGCAAGCTTCTTGTTGATCTTGGATTTCCACGATGTGTTTGTGGGGTGTAAAGTTGTTGTTAAGCCTTCCTCACTACACAGGCCATATCAGGACTGTTTGTTTCGGACACCCTGTTGTTTCATCATGTTTCAACACAACTCGAAGTGGCACTTACAGGCAGCAATTTTGTGGGGATTTGCACTTGCAGTCCAACTTCCCACTTAGACTTATCTCCCAAAAGTCTCAAATGCCGTGAAACGACCGCATCCACGACGCCTCCACTGGTCACCAGCTGCGTCGAGTTTCGCCCACCAAGCTCGGTCGAGGCGAGCCGAAAGCCACGCAGCCTCCGAAGACCGCGCGCGCCGAGCTGCGAAGGACTGGATGACGAGGGTGTGAGGATGCGTCTACAAACCAAAACAGCAGCGGTTGATCTGCCTTTAGAAATCAAGAGGGATTTGACATTGTAAAGAATGAACTCAATATAATGCAGCATATGGAAACTGAATGCCAAAACCCCCAACAATACGTTGCATCTCCAGGAACTTAAGATCTCGTCATCCATGAACATGACTCCGCGCAACGCCCGATGGCTCCAACTATATACGTCCGTTTCGGTTCGGTGGTTGGGGCGGTTGCCAGAGGTGTTTGGTAATGTTTTGTACCTACCTTCCGAGGATGCGGGACAGGAGCCCTGGGGTTCAACACTTTGCTTTTCAACACTGGCAGCAGCCCTTGGCGAAGAAATCACCATTTTCGCCCCAAAACGATGGCTGCTTCAGAAAAGGTTCAAGAACGTGGACACGCGCGACGAGTGGACGGACGAGTGTTAGAACATGCACAGAAACGCCATCCACTTATATAGTTGTGGGAATCATGATCGTGTATCCATGTGCATCATTTCTGATCGTGTGGATGTTGTTAAACTTTCTAGATATTTGATTTTTATGGCATTTTCTAGTTGAACGGTATGAGCAAAATTGGCCTGTTGTCAATGTAGTGGGCCGAGGATAGAATTTTGATTTCTCTTCCGGTGGACCGAACACGTATCCAAATCTGTTTGAACAGACATGGCTTCGGCCAGAAAAATAAGACTTCAATCACGCACCCAAACCCACACACGATCCATACCTCGATCCATAGGGCATGGATCAAAAGGTGGGTGTGTTATCCAAGCCCTTGGATCACATGGTTTGGTTGTCGTGTGGTTGGTTGGAGGAGCCCTCCACTCAACAGGGGGGCCCATTCCCAGAGGTGATCCATGGCATGGATGAGGCAAGAAGCAGAAGAAGGACTACGAAGAAGAAGAACACTAAAAAGAAAATGACAAGACAAAATGTAATAATAAGAAGACACGCAAGCAGGAAAAAAAGATGAAGGAGGATAAGTAGAAACAATATAAATATAAAAAGCAAGATAAGCAAGCAGGAAACATGAAGAAAGAATAAGAAATAGAAGACATATCAAGCAGACGCAAAATAAGAAAACATGAAAAAGAAGCGGAAAGAAGAACAAGATGCAGAAAAGGCAGAACGAAGAAGCGACAAAGGAAGAAGACAAAGGCAAAGAAGACAGAACAAAAAGAAGCAAGATAAGCAAGCAAGATAATGAAGATAAGACAAGACAAATCAACATAAAGAACAATAATATATAATAAGAATAATAAGGCAGAACAGAAGAAGACAAACAAGCAGGAAAAAAGGAAGCACACACAAGAAAATGCGTTTTGAAATTAGTGGCTTCCAGTAATTTGTTTTGGTGGCTTGCCCTCTTTGACTGGCTGGCTTTTCAAGGGCTACTCTTTCTCAATAGGTCACTTGGCCTAATGGATAAGGCGTTGGCGGTGGCTCAATTTGTCCCTGGGCTCCTTTAAGGTAAAGGGAAAACTGATGAAGCAGCCATTCACTTTCAATTTAGCGGCTTCCGCTAAATCTTCTCTCGGGCTTTGATTTGGACTAACATCAAAGCACACAGGGAGAGGCCGGCCTTGGCAAGTAGTGAGGGGTCATCTTCAGATTCCTTTTCTTCAGAAAACTGAAGAGCTTGACCCGTAAAGCTTCAAAAGGGGTCTGGGGGTTCTGGCTCGGACTTGGATGTGGACGCAGCTGTGAAAGAAGAGGAAAACAGCTTAGCGGAAGCCAATAATTTAAGTTTGGAAGCAATTGTAAGAGTGGAGGAAAGCAGTTTAACGGAAACCAGAAACTTGAAAGTGGAAGCAACTGTGAAGAACAGGACCTGTTTGTTGGAAGAGAGTGGAGGGAAGAAACAGGCGAGGAAACCCTACACCATTCATAGGTTTCCATTGGGCACCCATTGGAAGCGCTAGGCAGACTTCCTTTTGAGCATTTAACAATGGTCTTCGATGCTCCGCCCATCACCTCCACAAAACCAAACCGACACGCTCCCACGCGCACGCGCGTGCGTGTTTCGCATGGAACAGGACGCAGCCGAGCCTCTCTCTCTTCAGTCGCCCGGGTTCACCGGGGCGGATCTCGCCCGCCACCGCTCGGACCACGCGGCTGTCCTCACGTCCCAGCTCTCCCACTCCAAAGCAAAGCATGTCAGGGAGACTGAGTGGCGTGGTGGTTGGGTCGGCGGTGTTGGATTTGGAAGGGTTGTTTGGTCTTACATGCAAGTGAACATGGTTGGACAGTTTGTTGGGCCATTGGTAGTCGTCCAAGTCAAAGCAGTTAATCATGATCATGATGCGTTGCACGCACACCACCCAATCTGGATACAAGCACAGCTAGGCATGGGGGTGCGCACCTGGGCACCCGGCTCTTAAGGGCTACAGCTGCTCGCGCACAGAAACAAAAACTCGTCAGACCCCTGCACAGGGCCTACACCCTGCTGAAGACATGGGTCTATGATTATCCCATTCCGACGTCCCTTTCATGTGATCCAGCTGACATAACATTCGTCGTGCGTCAAAAGAGTTTGACTTGAAACATTGGGCGTTTCTGGTTTTGAACAGGGTTGCGACATCCCAAAAGTCAGGTCCATGGACGACACTGGGGCAGGAATCACTCTCCTTGCCAGTGTGTTTCAAAACTCTTCGCCTAGCTACCTGGAATCCATGAGTCCAGCGTTGTCAAAAGACGAGGCCCTTTGCCACCTTGTTGCCGCAGAGGGGACGAACGGAGGCTGTAAGGGGCTCCAGCAGCTGAAATGGGAAGATGATGTGGTGGGGAACTGTGCAAGTGCTTTTCAGAAATCCCATTATAGAAGCTAGTGACTTTGGTTGGTCCCACATAGTCCCACTCAGCAATGGGATAAAATTCCGGTGTCACTAGAGGTCTCCTCAGGATGCTTCAACATGCTCCAACAAAAAGTAGTACTATACACTATTTGTGTTGGGAGTGACACACAGTCCATTCACAATAACCCCTAGGGCTCCTGGCCCGCCTCCGTTTCGAAGATGGTTGGGGTGGGTGCCAGGGGGGTCTAACCACCTGAGGATATGGGACAGGAGCCCTAGGGAACAATGACAGTATCCGCTCCCAATGCTCCGTCCAGCAGTGAGCTTGACATGTTTGGCCTCAAAGCATGTCGCAGATCAGGATCCGAACCGATCGCCCCCCCCCCACTGGCGGACCATTGTTCGAGCGGTTTTTGGAGCCCTTCCGATGGAAGAAGCACGGAGCCGGACTGACCAGGACTAAGAGCCCTGAAGGAATAGCATGAGGGAAAGACGCGTGGCAACAAAAAACTGAGACAAACACGTTTGCACTTTCGTTCTGGAGGGTCCTTGAGTTGTAGCAATCCTTTCGATGATTCCACTGACGGCATTTGGTGACCACTGGCCGAAGATCGGTTGAAACCACTTGGCACGTGCTCCTGTAACATTGGTCTTCTCAGTCGATCAGAACTTGAGTGGATTCTAGAATGTGTTTGCTTTCTAAGGCGCCGCACGTTCCATCGTCCTTTTCCTATGCATGTTTGGACTGACGGTTTTGCGTTGTCCTTGTTCTCCCCTTCGAAGTGACGGCCGCCATGTTTGGACACGACTCCCCGACCAACGCACGGGACCCATCAGGACCCCCCCCAGGATTAGGCCGTTTTCCCGTTGCGGGCGGGCTTAGCTCAGGTGAAGATGAGAGCGAGTAGTACCACTGGCAACATCAAGGTGGATGTGTTTTTTCCTTTCCTTTTCAGGAAAGCCGCTCCTGCTGTGAAGTCTCAGATTTTGAAGACATGAGCCACGTGATCCACTTCGCGATCCGAAGCGTTCATCATTATGTACACCAGTGCTGGACGTTTCGATGTAGGTAGGACAAACTACAGTTATGGAACAAACTACAGACAGGAATCCATGCCATACTGCGAGCGACATTCAGCGAACTTGTGACCCTAGGGGCTTGTGTTTCATGACCAGCTTGCCATTCGAACCTCAAGAATGGGTGGAGACTTCAAGAGCTTCACTTCCCTTTCTGCTGGGGTTTCCCCGCAGGTCAACGATTCCAAAAGCTTTGATCAGACATTGTTTGCACAAACCGGAGCCCAGTTGTGATCCACCTTCCGAGTCGCGAGTCGCGGTCCGCGGGCGCGTTCGAGTCGCCCGTCGGGGCCAAGCGCCGAAGCGAGGTGCCCGTCTTGCGCGGATTGGATGCAGAGGCGTGGGCGAGCGCGCCTGCGTCCGAGTCGGAGGGCGTGGGCGCAGCCAGTGTTCGTTCAGATCTCAAATGACCAAGGCGTCCGAGTCAGAGGGCGACGGGTTTTGATTCCTTTGGGGGAAAGAACCGAAGTTGGTGCAAATCCAAGTGGTCATAGGATGTGAAGTTCGTTTGCCGGGCGGACGGACGGTCTGACGGTCCCGTGACACGGTGACACGGTGAAGCGAGCATTGAGTGCGAGAAGTAGACATATATCAAGTCAAAGAGCGAACATCACAAGTGAAGGCGTTTTTTCTTGGATCTTCATACCCTCAACTACTTCGGGTCTAGAATGGGCGTACCTTTGAAGTAGGTGCAGGTATGGATCTTCAGGAGTTTGGGTGGATCATGGCGCCGCTGAACTTCAAGAAGAAAGAATGTTGACCTCCAACCAATGCCCGCAAGCGACTATGAGGGTTGGGTTGGGTTCCAGAATACATTCACCAGAACATGTCGCACATCCTTTGCTGGGTCTCCCCTATTTTGAGGCAACAGCAATGACAGGACAAAACTGATGAATTCGTGTTCATTTGCTCCCATAAAATGCCTTCATCCGGAGAGGAAGATGCCACTGAAGACTCACTGCTGCTGCTACAGTACTACGATAACTACCGCTCCTACTACTAACCATATACTTCTACGACTCCTACTGCTTCCTGACCTACAAGGGACTTTGCTCTTTGCTTGCTTAATTACATTTAATGACTCCCTGTAGGACACCTGAGCAAACAGTCAACCCTGCATGGAAAAGCCAAGAAAACACTCGGCGATCGCGTGGCACCAACGGCCCAGGCTGTTTCAGGTCCGTCGCAGAAGCGAAGCACGGGTGCTTGGTTTCAACTCCACCGATGGATGGAACTGAACCACTTTTGGAAAGACATATCATATATGGAAACATTGAAAAGCGGTTGACCCGGTTGACCTTGCAGGCTCTATATATAAATGTAACTAATTGAATTAATCAGTTAGCAGACTGAACAGTGATGTGGTACTTTGGCCGGTGTAGAGTTATCCACACCCAAGAAAGACATGTTGAGTTGTTTTCAGGCGCTCTTGAATATCCAGACCTCCATGTTCTATTGATGCTGTACTGGATGGACACATCTAAGGAACAGCTCCCTTTGATTCCCTTTTGTGATTGGCAAGGTCCACTGCTGCTTCGTTTTGCTTCCCATGACACCAGCATTTCCTTTGCTCCGCAAGCCTGTGCCAGTCGACTTAGTGAGGTCTACCATCCAACCCGGCAGTCGACTCGATGTTGACGAGTCAAACATTTAGGAGCTTGCGGGACACGGGGCAGCCTCGTCAATCCTCTTCACCCACTATTTTTTCAACCTCATGTCCAAAGTACTAGGTGATCAAAACAAGGGCAACAAAAACAACAACATCGAATTGACGTCTATGACCAGCTTATCAGGTTGATCATGGATCAACACGGAGAGACTTTACAAATTCGGGGGCTACCTTGTTACGACTTCACCCCAGTCACTAGCCCTACCTTCCGCGTCTCTCTCCTACATCAACATACCCTAGGGCTCCAACCATATCCTCAGGTGCGGTGGTTAGACCCCCCTGGCACCCACCCCAACCATCTTCGAAACGGAGGTGGGCCAGGAGCCCTAGGGATAAATCAACTGTAAAATCCATGACTTGCTGTGTCTTCGCCTCATGGTCCTCCGACGTTCGAGGCCGACCAGCCGGGGAGCCCAGCATCATTCGGCCCCGTGGAACGCCCCGCGCCGCTTCGGTGCTGCAGATTTGGTCAGTTGGAAGTGGACTGAACATGGAGCATGTCCCAAAGCAGTTCCCAACAACCGTTTTGCAACAACAGTTTTGAACAACTGTTGCATGTCCCAAAGAATGTCTGCAACAGTTGATATGATATGTATATATGTGTTGTTGTCATTGTCGCTGTGGTTGTGGTTGTTGTTGCTGTCGTTGCGGTGGTTGTTGCTGTTGTTGCTGTTTTGCTGTGTTGCTGTGTTGGTGTTGTTGGTGTTGTTGTTGTGGTGGTGGTTTTCCTTGGTAAGATTGTATTCGCTTTTCTGCGTACATACATGCAGGTTTGGGGTTCATCTGAGTAACCTTGCAAGGACAGGGGAAGCCCATTTCAATACAGTGAATACATTGCTTCCTCAGCAGCGCATCCATGTCGAACAGTCAACCATATTCCAACCGGATTGGATTTTCTCCTTTCATGGAGCATATACCCCTCGAGAAAGGTTATTTTTCAAGTGGAGTACTGTAGGTTTGGGGGATTCGCTCAAAAGCTAGTTCAGGGCCTTTGTGGGTACATCTCGCCAAAAAACATTTCGAAGAGAAGAAGAGATCTCCAAACTACTTCCAAGGTAGAAGCAGCATCGAATCTAAAGCAGTACAGGATTAGTCACATTAGTCTCAACTGGAAGTGCGACGTGTTCTTTCCCAACAGGGACCTTCAAAAAGCTTCTGAGCATTGGCAGGCATCCCAAAATGGTTCCTCTTGACAGCAAAGCTTCATCAAGGGATGCGCAACTCCCCGTACGGTCTAGAAGTTCTGTCATGGCGCCAGAGACTATGGCATACTACAGCAAGAGGGGAAGGGGGGTTAGATGCCTATGATTGATGTGAGTCCATCCGGCCTCATTCAACACGCCGGTTCCTCACCAGATTCTTTGGTCGCCCAAACACTCTGAAAGTTCCTGATGGTTGATGTGCAGGATGATTTCTAGCCCACTCATCAGCATTGAGATGTAAAGGAAAATCCTTCTCCGAATGTGACGACTGGAGGGTGCTCCCAGCATGTCCCGCCCTTCGTCCCAGCTTCGCATCCCTCAGGGCGATGCCCCGGAACCGTCTCTGACACCCAGAGGCCCGGGGCCCGGGACGGAGGCCACGGACGGATGCGAACACGCCACTCGATGTGGGCCCGGTCGGCGGCCCACGGGCTGAAACAATCATCCCGCCGGTCACATCCCTCAGCCGAGAGCTGCCGGTCACCGAATGTGTTGAACCAATGTTTGCCGAGAAAAAACGATTTTTTTTGAACGTTTGGAAGGAATGCGTGGAAACATACGCGCACATGCGCGAACACCTCTTTTTGATTCTTTTTGCACTTAATTTCAGGTGAAGGCCTTGATTTCAGGGTTGGACAACACCTGTGGTCGACTGGTCCGGGGAGGACAATGTATGGACAATGTGTGTCCAAAAGAGGGACACTCGCAGAAACAAGGGTTGAGACGTTTGTTCTATATCCACAAGTGTTTGCGGTTCTCAGCTACTAGTAGGTCTTGTAAAAGGGTTTCAGACATTGTAAGGTAATATGAATTGATATGATATGATATGCATTGGTTTCAGACTTCAGATGCGAACAGAGTCGTCCGGTTTGATCATTCATACGTCCTTCTAATTAAACCTAGTTCCATCCATTAGGCGACCAATACCCAAATTACATCAGCCTGACCACATGATGATTTGTGCCACTTCAACAGTGGCAGGCACTTGTCCAGCGCGCTTCACCACACTTGCAGAGGCCCTTGGAATTGCTTTGGACTTCGGGTGGGGCCGGTTTTTTTCGGTGTCAACAAGCGGATTGTCACGTTTGCAGGGGGTGATCGCTGGAGTTTGTACTGTCTGTTTGAAGGTAAACCCTTGGCAACTTGTGAGGAATCCCACTGTGCCCTCACTGCGAGACGTAGCAGACTACTTCTTTAGCATGGAAGGGGAGGTGCTTGGTGGTTGTCATGTTGAGGGTTGAAGAAACATTAAGCCTTAGAGTCACGTGCCTCCTTTGTTCAACAAACAGTAGAGCCTCGCTTGGTCTAAACGTTGTTTCCTTCATTTCCGGAGGCCAGAGATGATGCGAACGATACGTGGTTTTGTCATGTTTTGTATCCTTGGTGAACCTACCCCGGGTAGGTTCAGAAAAGATCCCATGCACCCATGTTGAGAGAACCCAGAACGTGAGAACAATTGCGTCGGAATGATGTTTTTCCCCAAGTGGTCAATGCATCCTAGTGTCCCGATGATGACTCTAGGGTTGTTGCCGATGGTTTCATGTTCATGCTCAGGCCACGGGATCTCAAGAAGTGCCGTGTGACTTCCGCCTACCCTCCTGGGGAAACAAGTTTGGTTGGTATTTAATCCAACCAAATATCGCCACCCGCTTAGGCACTGAAAACAGGGGGACCTTTTTATGACAGTTTACTTCTTATTATAACCCCCTGGCGTGGATCACCAGGTCACCAAATCGGATCTTCCATCCACCTACCAGGCAAGATGGGCCTTCAAGACACGCGTTGGCGCAGTGGAGCCGCGAACCGAGTGGGGTTTTCACCACTCCATCCCGGAAGATCCGTTGTGAAAACCACCAGAAGATCTGTGCCATGAAGAACATCCACAAATCCATGCCTGAGTTGTTCCATGTTTTTCCATGTGAAGGAGATGTTGACCAAACATCCACTTCGGGCCGAATGGCCGAATTCCACCCTACCGGGCAAGCCCGAGCCATCCCCACCTTGGCCCGGAGGGCGTAACAGCTCGGATGACCTCTGGCCCCTTGGTGGATCTCCTGGCCATGTGTATGCAATTTCATGGATCTCTTGAGAGGTTCCACAGCATGTTGCTGTGAGATAGTGTACTACAGATTTCACAGGTGCCCAGCCTTTTTGTGTTGATTAGGCGCCGGACCGAGTGGTTGATGTTCCTGCTCCGGTTCTGCTCCGGTGAACGCGGATGAACGTGGGTTTTCCTCTTGTCTTCTGTGTTTGAACAAGTTCCACTCACTGCTGAGCTGTTAGTCGCACGTTGCAGAGCCTTTGAGTTGAAGAAATTGAAGAATAGTACCGTTTGCAGCTGCAGTTCACCATGAGCCAGGCTCAGACTGTGGAGAAAGACATGAACATCCTGACAGTCAGATATATGATATATATTATATATATGTCTTGCTGGAGAAAAAACAGTCAAAATACAAAACTTTGCATGCAGGCGCTTTGCATGCACGCCTAAATAAGCACAATATGTGATTACAATAAACGTCATTCCAACCGGGGCTAAGGCAAGCATGCATGAGGGTGGTTGTCGAACGGAGCTTTCGGCTGACAGTCATTTCGTGGGGAGCCCCTCCTCGGTGGGAAGGAGCAGCGCAACCAGTTGGGGAGGTCAGACCCCTGTTTGTATGAGGCCCCAGGAAGGTGGAAGGAAAAGAGAGGAGAAAGTAAAGATATGGGGAAGAAAGAGAAGGGGGAAGAGACAAGCTCTCTACCAAGATCCGACTCAGGAGGAGCGTGCCCTGAAGTGCAAAGGGAAATGGTCGGTGTTTTGGTGTTCCGTTTGCCAGAGCGGGCTAAGAAACATAAGAAAGAGATCAAGTATATAGACTCATGGGGAATGAGAACAGAAGAGAAGGCATGGAAGCATATGGAAGCCCTCATTGCTGAACTATATGCAACAGAGGCAGTGCCGATTAGTGACGATCAACCTCAGTTGGACTGAAGATGACTGAAGGGAGTCTAAGGAGGCCAGTGATGACTATATTACCAGTGGTATTTGCAGTAGGCCAGCTCGAGTCAGGAGCAGCGCAGCTGTGGGCTTCATTTGCTCCAGGTCATCTTCAGCTGAAAGAGAACGGCCGATCCCTGCCTGGCATAGAGCCCAGCCTGGACGTTCGCAAGGTCAGCTGATGATTTGGTGGCAGCCTTTTGTTTTTCAGATGGGGTGGTCACAGTTGATGGATGCGCTCTAGCGCCCAAGTTCCGTGGGCAAAGCTAGGCAGTGATGGACCTGACACCACATATGATGGAGCATGCATGGGCTTTGCCTCAGCGGTGGGGGGCACTACAGCATGCGTGCTGCAAGCTGGGCGGAATGGAGGAGAGTGTGTGATTTCTGCATTTAGCAGATTCGCATGTGTGCTTGCCAGGAAAACCTTTGTGTTGTTGCTTGGCCTGACCTCAATCTTTCTCCGCTGCGAGGTCCAGCTATCAAGATGAGCGACGGAACCAGTAAGTGAATGGGGAATTTGGCAGCAGAGAGAACAGGAGCGAGAGAAGATGGGACAAATCAGTAGTGCGCCCACAAGGAGCACAGAGAAGCGGTAGGAAGAGGCATTTAGAGGTTTTGTGATGCTTTGTTAGACAATTTGTTGAAGGACGTTTGTTTTCCAGCATTTGATAGCATGTTTTGTGGCCCCCAGACACAGGCAAGCTACGGGTTGACTGCGGTGCAGTACGTATTCTGGGGCCAGTTGGCGCAAGCAGCTAATGGAAGCTGGGAAATTTTGAGAAACCAAGGCGCACATGTCAACTCATTTTTTTGCGTGCGTTCACAAGATCTTTCCAACCTGGCGGCGAAACAGGCTTTGGCCTACCTATGCAATTCGCACAATTTCTCCGCACAGGTGAAAGGTTCAAATTGCCAAGATGTGACATACTCTGACCAAGGCATGCTGAGATCCGGCCATCAGTTTTCACATGGATACCAAGACGGCTGGGTAGGGAAAACGGTTGATCTCGGAGGTGCCTCACGTTTCGGCAGTTTTGATGATTTCCTGGTAGAGTACTGACAGGAATGATAGAGTACTGACAGGGATGATATTCGTTGCATTTGGAGGTAATTCACAACAATTGGGGGGCGTCCTCTGGGCCCATGAGCAATAATAATCTCCGCCGATGTTCTGAGGGATGTTGGCCGAGAGCTGGCACGTGGCTAAAGCCTTTGTGGCCGACGCACCGTTATGGTGTATGAGAGTGAAGTCAAACAGCAAGATGGCACCATTGCCTGTTTACAGAAGGTACCTGGGAGTCAGTTTGCAACCTTGCGTAGCACACATATAGATATATATATATAGTCTACATATATATATATATGACAATTTCCCAGATAATGTTCAATCAGTTCGTGCTCACGCCGTTGTCCAAGGCGTTCTCTGGAGTTCACAGCCAGCATGCAAGAGAGGACAGGGAGCCCCGTGCCAGGGGACCGTTCGGACGATCGGCCAGCAGCAGCTTCAATCATGTCAAAGAGGTTGACATTATGTGTTTTGTTCTTTTTTCAGCAACCTCCCCAATATGTGTTTTAACGTATGTCATATTGGAGCTTGAGTGACCCTCGTTTGCGGAATGGAGCACCTTTTCCCATGACACTTAGTTTGACTACTGCAAGCAATGTTTGCATTTCACCGGCCAGCGGTGCCATCCAGCAAACGGACAAATGCAAGTGCCTCGGGGCTTAGGTTGGGCTTGTCAAAGCTAAACCCTGCAGGGGCAGACTGGTCTTCAGAGAGGAAGACCCCTTTTCGATGACCTTCCTAGTCTCAAACTTCCAATTGCAGACCCGGTCACCTGCCGCTTCTGTTTGAAACTACATCTTCTCCATTTCCTTGCCATCAAATGTTTGCCAGGCTCAAAGGATTGATGCGTGACCACTTGGCCCGGGGTCTGAGACTTCAGCGTGGACCGAGCATGTTCTGACCCATGCTCCTCCGGTTGCGGTTGTCGACCAGGTTTGCGGAGGGTCGATTCGGGTGGAGGCCAGCGACGAACGAACCTGGTGCGTTGTTGAACGAACCTTGTGATGTCGCTTCAGCCTTGAGCCAGAAGAGAGAATCCTGGAAGAGGCCCGAGAAAACAATGGTCCTCGACAAAGGGATGCTAGACAGTTGCTGTTTGAGGGAGAGTCGTTTGGAGTCATGTGCTGAACAACGGGCAGATGACAGTTGGAAACTAACAAACGTAATCTGCGCAAGTGGGTGTGTTGGAAATGGGTATCCTGCCATCTCCATTGGTTGCATATAATAGAATAAAATAATTCTGATTCTGATAGAAACTAACTGGTTCGAAGTCTCGCTGTCAAATGTGGGACCTCTAAATTGGCAACTGGTCAACTTCCGTTGTTCCCAAACATCATCGATTCGAGACTTCCAATTTGGGGCCGTCGGTTGCGCTGAGTCCTCCAATAATATCCTACCTGGATCATCCGTTCCGGGCAAAGTTCATCCACTACCCATTGGATGATCCATTCTTTTGAACATGTGTACACAAAGCACATGACTTTTTTTACATACCCTAGGGCTCCAGCCACCTTCTGAGGAGATGGTTGGAGTGCTAGGGATAATAGAACCACCTTGTAGCTAGCTCTCCCACACACTGAGGCCAGCCGCTCAACCAGCTGTGGCTCCGGTGAGTCGCCGCTTTGAAGAAAAAGCAAGGTTCGATCACAAGCAAGAACAAGAGGATACCAGAGGATACCAGAGGTCTGGTTGGAAAGCAGATGGGACACCATCAATTGATCTATTACCATTGGGAACCCGGGACATTTCTTTTTTGTGCTGATGGTCTAATTTGGGGAAGGGTGCCCAACCATGCATGAACAAGACTGAGCAAGTCCTAAGAAGTTGTTGCAAACGCTGCAAAAGGTGGATTCTATTGCCAGATCTTGTCATTCACCCAAGAAGAGCTTGTTTTTGGGGGGTTCTGAAGTTGCTTGTGTTTGTGCGTGTGGTTGTTCGAATCTTACGTAAGCATCAACAAAACCACACAGATCCTTTCCAACGACCATGAGTGTTCGATGAGCCAGGCAGGTTCGCATCGGGGCACCGAGAGCAGTGTCGATCGTGGCACAGTCGTGGCTCAGAGGCTCATAGATCTAAGACACCTTCGGACACCCTGACATGCACAAAAAACCTGTGTCTCGACATGTCTCGACGGAAATGATGAAAGAGCAAATTAAACCTCAGTCCAGCTTGGTGGAATAGTTCAACATAGTTCAACTCATCCAGGTGAAGTACATCTAAACACGGAACTTCTCAGATGATGTGTGTGTGGTTGCCTTGCCCCAGTCATTGCCCGACCTCTTCAGACCTCTTCCTCTTCCCCGTTGCTCGTCCTACCGAGGCCGGTGGAGCTCGCCGTGTTTTGAGAGGAGGGGATGTCTCGACGGACACGGATGTCTCGACGGACATCCGTTTGACGACTGGGGCGAAGCAAGCAAGCTGTCAAACCCGATCTAGAGTCTACGGGAAAGGTCCAGCTTCGGACGAATCTGCTTCGCGGAAGTGTTCGGCGAAAGATCCCGTCGTAGGTGGAGACCGGAGGGGATGGAAATCCGGTTCATCCGTTGGAAGAGCGAAAGCATTGATCTTGACTGGGCCGGGGAGAACAGATCGGGGTAGTCTTGGGGGGTCATTTGTTGTTGTGGAGGTCAGGGATCTTTCTTCCCAGTGTGTCATGAGGAGGTCGTTGGAGGGCCCAGGGATCAGACCAAAATGGGTGCTCAGAGGGCTCATGCATCCTTCGTCTCTTTCCCTGAGGGCCCAGAGGGCTTCAACTTCATCGTGTTTACACCCGGGAAGATTAACATGGAACCTGAAAATGGACCTTTGGAAGACTACTTTCCTCTACAACCCCATGGTTTTCAGGTTCTATGTTAATCTTCCCGGGTATATTATTGTTTATTAGTCTATATATGTATAGTTAGACACCCCCAAGGCCCAAAGACACACCCCGACCACCTTCTCAGGGCGATCTCAGATCCTCATTTGGACGACCAGGATGATTGACATGGACGCCACGAAAGACGTGGCGAAAGACCGCCCCTTTGAGATGTAAGGTCAAGAAAGGGAGAATTGACATGCTTGCTGATTGATTGAACAAATTTCAAGTTCCACAGTACCAGGACGTATTACCAGGTAGAAATTCTCGCGGTATGTCCAGAAGATGTCCTCTCAACGCCGTGAATGGATGTGAATGGTGTGTTGCTTCATGTGAATGAATCGTTTGAAGGTCGTGAAGATTGAATGATTCACCGGCCACGTCTTTGGTGGAACTGTTGCCCTTAAGCATCTGCAAAAACACAGCACCTGGCGAACCCATGATCGTGATGTGAGTCCTTGAGCCAAATCTCGGCTGTCCATAAAGAACCTGGAAGAGTTTGTTCTTTTTGGGTGACGTTCCAAGCTTTCATGTCACATGCACTGCCATATCCAGGACTTGGCTAGCGGCAACACTTTCTCAGCAATGGTGATTAGCTGGCCCCATGTCTTAAGGACTGGGACCCAGTGCTTAGTTTCTACGCGGATTCGGGCCACAAGTGCCCCCAATCCCTGGCGAATGCTGTCTACGAGCGGTGGCCTTGTTGAAAACATTATGAAAAGCTAATTCTCAGTGCTTCTGGATTGACTTCTTTCTAAAGCTTTAGTTCGGGTCCCAAGCTACGGGAACATGAAGTTGTTGCAACTTGCCATGTATCTTTTCAATGCCAAGCCTCACGCTCATTTCGACGCCCCAATTTTTGTTGAGACTGATGCTGATTGGAGCGCTGAGACGCCTCCAACCATGCGTCCACGCGCGAGACCATGGGGCGATCCACGCCTCGAATTGCCTTTTTCCGGACCTCGAATGAGGCCTTCACTGGACCGACCAGTGACATGGCAATTTGTCGAAAAAGTGAGCCATTCCCAGCCTCCTGAGGCCTTTTGGAAAGTGTATAAGCAGCCCCACCCTTACTGACAGGCTTCGCCAACCGGCGATGCCCTCAGGGGGAGTGCGTGCGTGCGCAGGCTCTTCGCGTTGCAAAATGCGACAAGTAGCACAGCTTCGTACGCCTGCGCATACACACTTCCACACAGGGGTGCGCATGAGGGTCTGAAGTAAAAAGCCTGGCAACTTCAACTACAAACACACGTATGCACATGCACACCTGCACACGCACCTGCACGCACACGAACGCACACGCACGCGCGTGCGCGCGGCGCGCACACAGCTTCGTCAAATATCAGGACTTTGTAGTGGAAAACGCTGGAAAACTATATTTTTGAACATTCTCTATTCTAAAGCTATCTGCATTTAGGCTGAAACATATTCACAATTATTACAGTAGTTTTTAAACGTTTTCCACTACCAAGTCCTGATATTTGATACTTGAAGAAGCCATATATAAGCCCAGGTGGTGCTAGAAATCACCAGAGTACGAGCAACATTGTTCATAAACTGTATACATACATTTTGAAAAAAACACTTCACAATGCTTTGCGCCTAGTCGTA